GCCGTCAGATGGGCGACCAAACGGTTAGCAAACTGGTTCGTAATAGACTCCAGCAAAGACATCTGTTCTAGGTACGCTGTCATCCTTTCCATGCCTGAAAACTGCAAATAATAGCCGTGTACTTAAAGACCAAACAGGAATGCACGAAACCTACTTTCAAAAAGAGTAATTTACGTTAGGCCATTTACGTTATCGACTAAGGGTACGTCATAATGAAACTGCGAAAAAGCGATACGTGTTAGTTTCATTCAGTACAAGGCATGCCAAAAAAGATCTCAATGTCTATCAGCATGAGAGGTCGGAAAGTTGGCGGAGTGATGACTTTCATAATCTTCAGCCCAGGTCGAACAACACAAAATCCCTTGCGTCATTTTAGGTCTGGCCAAAGACTTTTTGGGGGTACCTCCCTGGCAAGGAGATAAAAGTCGTAGTCTGCCTGCAGCCTGAAACTTGCAGTAAGCACAGATGTATATAAATATTAATAAAAGCTATGAGAAAACAGTTTCTCCGCGTGTTCAACAGGTCGAAAGCAAAGATTCATACGGCGCCAGCAATCAATCACTGCATACGCTGTCTCACTATCCATACTTTCAACAGACAAACGAAAGGCAAAAGAAGGATATGTTCGTAGGATAACCTCGTTTTTGATATCCTGACAAACAATGAATTAACGAAAAACGCTTACTGATGAATCAGGGAATTAAAGCAATTCACCTGATTCTTTTCAAGTAAGACTCGACTCGTTCTCGATTCTGCATTGCACTGTCTCCGTGCACAGAAAAACTTATTCTAAGTACCTGAATAATTTTTGCAAACATTCATTTTTACAGATGTTTGGCTTTATCTTATATTTTATGCGGAAAGCTAGTTTACCGAATGGCACGGTACTCTTAAGACAAGTCTTTAGCTTCTTAGCCGCTTCGGTGCATTGTAAAATTTTGCTTGTCGTCGAGAGGTCACATTCGTTCAATATATTCTGGTCATCTGCGGTCAAATTCAGCATCTCCTGAAAAGTGGAATTTGGCCAATGACGAAAACAAATAAAGATAAACTTACAATAAACGCTTCGAGGTCATTCATCAGGCGTTGACGATTCGTAAAATAAGTGTTAATCAGCAGGTCCTTCTCTTCCATCATTTCGATGCCGTCTTTCACTTGCTGAATATACAATGTCATTTACAATTTTTAGCCAACCACTTTGCACTTAGTACTGCAAGAAGATCGTCGTAGCCGACCAGCACCTGTTCCAGTCTCGACGCTTCGTTGAGGGCTTCGTCTACGACGTTGAGCAATTCGGCAATCTGCTCCTCACTGCCGACGATAGCTTGGATGTTCGCCTGAAAAAGTGCTACATGACGGATAGCCAGGGGCAACCCACTGACGTATCAATGGGTTATCAGTCAATTTCCACGATACCCCATCCAGAAGCTGCAACTCGCGAGTCAAAAGTTCGGTAAACTTTTCAGCATCGGTTATCTTTAGGTTAAATTTAGAAATCAGCAGTCTGAAGTCAGCCTCCTCCTTGTCAGATATCGGTTGATACTCGTCGGCAGCTTCCGGCTGACTTGACGTTTCACCATAAGACAACGACGTGTTGCCATTTGCCACTTCTACCACACAATGTGATATATATCGAAGAGTTCATTTCAGAGACAGAGAATACGCTAATGAGGCGTTACTTCATAATTAATTAATTAATCAAATTGGAAGACAAATTAATTAGCAGATACAGTAAGTGATAAACCAGCAATAAATCATAAGGCAAAAATACACACAATATAAACTGAGCAATCACGTATGTCTTGTTTGTGACTGAACATAACGTCAAAATATAACGCCGCTAACAACGGATATTAACTTTTTCACTTACCAAGTTCTTCAACCGGAATGGATATGTTGACGAATTCAGGTTTATTACCAGACAGGTAACGATGGCTAAGCTATAATGAAACAGATAAACATACAAAGCAATATCATCACAGTACACAAACACAACGACTGTTTATTTTAACTAAACTAAGACGAGAAGATGTAGAAGTTAATTAGAGCTCAGCTGCAAAAGAAGCCATAGCTAACTTTTTTGAATTAACATATTGCACCCTTTAAAACGAACTGTTTATATAAACTATTCAATTAACAAATCCTTATCAAGTACTATTTCTCATCGATCGACATTACTTTATGCCGCCTTAAGGGTACAAGCTAATTTAACAGAAACATAAAGCAGATACTAAACAAGTGTTAATGATTGACTCAGTCGCCAATATACTCAATAATCTTGTTATTTTGACGATAAATGGCTGACATGGAGGAGGAGATGATATGGAAAAGATGTGAAACAAAAACTAACAATAAACGCATTGAAAAGTCAGAAGGCAAACCAGAGCTGTGCGATATATTCCTAAAGTGGGTTAAACATTTTACCTTTTTTGGGAAACGTTCATAAAATTATACTCGATGATGAGATAACTATGAAGTTGCCTGAATGCTAAATAGATCTAAATACTCTTATCTTCCAGATATCCCTCCGTCGTTTCCTTCGCATCGCCCTTATTCTGTCTTCTTTCTTACTCTTCCACCGTCTTCTATCTTATATTCTGCCATTTATAACTTCCATGTATCTGATATGTTTATATCTGCTTTTCTTCTTCATCGTTCACCCCTTTGTGATTTTTTCTTACTGTATTCTTCCTTCCATGGATTTTGCGATTTTCTCTCTATTTTACTTCTTTGCTCGTCCGTTCTTCTTCATTCTTGCAAACACTTCCTCTTAGCTTCTTCCTGCTCATTCCTAAGTGTATTCCTCCCCTTCATCAGTATTTTACCCCTTCCTTTTCACCCTGCCCTTCTTTAACTTTACTGATCCTACATTTTCTTACTTACCACCTTGCTTCGTTCCTTCTCGTCTAAATATCTTACTTCATTTTTCTTCCACTTTTCATCCCTCCTTATTTTGCTTTCTACTTACTTACTTCTCAAATGCATCATGGAATAAGCAAATGGAGTCTTTGAAATCAAGCAACCAGATCGATTAATCTCAGAACATAAAAATGTTTCTTCGCTTAAGTTGATTTCAAAAGTCAGCAAAAGCTTAATCATATTCGCTTTAATCTAAATCTTTAACCTGTTACCACAGATATTCTACGAACATGAAGACTGAAAATAACTGCACACGAGGTTCAAATAAGTTGAGCAGGATTCCGAAGGATCACCCGCTCAGTTTTACGCACCTCTAGATTCATATAACCTCAAGCATCAAGTGTAGATTCCTCCAAATTACAGAATTTACCTTCCACATCTGTCGAATAAACGGGTCCTTCAGATTGGCAGAATCCGCTAACCAGCGATACAGCTTATCGACGGTGAAATGAAATTCTGGCGATTGCTACAAGAAAAACTTTCGATGTAAGACCAATGGCAGCAAAGAAAAATTCAGTTATCACGGATGCAAACTCCAGTACCGAAGCTACGTTAGAATAATCACCATGTTTCCAGGCACTCATTTTGAACACTTCATATCTGACAGCTTCGGAGAAAATGAGGAAGTAGTGGTTCACAGTAAACGGAAATAAGATTTCACAGAAAACGAAGCAGTTCTGGACAAAGCTATAAAATATATAGCAGATTTTCGTGTAGTTACATTTTTTCTGTTAGAAACTTTAATCTTCCAATGTTCGCGTTGACTTTTTTCACTGAACCGAATTACAAGGAATCCTGCCGTTTCCATCAAAGTATCAACTTCTTCAATAACTGCAGGTGTATTGATAAGCAAGTTAAATAGCCAAACATGAAAACTAATATACCAATAGGGAGAAAATAGCAATATATGCTGTTTCCTGCGTTAAACACGGCAGAAGAAAAGAAAATTTTAAAGTATTACGAAGTCGCCCGCCCCTGAAAATTCTGTGATTGATGCTTGCGGCAGCACTGTTTCTTGAAGCGTTTGGTGCACTGCTGATCTCATTTGCTTATCTAATCTGATTCTTATGTAATCAGTCACGAGCACCTATACATTCATTAATTCATTTATTTCATTATTGACTTTATTAGGTTTCGAAGCCATAACTAACGAGTACCTTGTACATCAATTCATTAATCTCAAATTTATTTATTGATTAGTTTACTTCATCCTTAATCTTATCTGCTGATCTGATCTCATTTCGATGACAACAGATCAGGAGCACCTTCTGCATACATACATTAATTCATTTATTTCAAAGCTTGCTATTACATGCTGGCTGTATGGGTAACTGCAACTGTTCTCAAGATAGTCCTGGAATGTCCTAGCCCACCGCAAAACGGATACCAGATG